TTAATTAGCGTGTTTATGGTTACTTTATTACACTAATCACTGTTTAAAACTTATAAGGACTGTTAAAATAAATTAAAATAATAAGAGCTCGTACAGAGCACCGTTTATTCCACTACCGCCCAAATGATATTCCATCCGGATGCCTCCGCGGATCGGTAGGAACGTGCGTTGGTTCCTCGGGACCTAATACGTCGTACAAGTTCTTTTCAGCATCGTCATATAGTTCAAGACCCGGCGGGGTGATCACTCTGGACCCCCACGCCGGGTGTTTAGCGTTCAGGTCCCCGGTGATGATTGTGGGTGTATCGCCTTCCATCACCGTCCGGATGTCTGAGGAGCAGAATGGAGTCCCTGGCGGGCGGTATGCTGCGTAGATCCTAAGTTCCTCGCCCGCCGCCTCCATTCTTATGCCGATAGAGTGCATAGTCTGGTAAGGTGGTAGTTCCAGCTCTTGATGGACGATGTCCCTCCTCACTAGAACCGCCGTCCCTCTGTAGGCGGCCCCTTGAGCAGTGACCTCGTCCCTCCTGTAAATATGGTAATTCGGCAGCTTTATATGCGTCTTTGGATTCAGCTTCGTCTCTCCCAGCAAAATGATGTGTAAATCCTGCTGCTGGGCGACTGTGCGGAGTTCATGCAGCTTCTGCTGTATTCCGTCCGGGTTCCAATAGAGGAGGCGCAGATTACTCTCCTCCGTAATGCCGGGCTAGAAGGTTTGCCAGCGCCTTCATTATCGCTGTCACTGGATCTGTCCCGGCTCTTATATCAGCCAGGACTTGTGTACCGACCTCGATGGCAATACCAACCAGACGTTGGATTGCATCTGCTGTTTCGAGGCCGGTGGTAGGTATAAGAAGGCGTTGGCAATTGTCTCGGGTGTTGGGGCTCCTGAATTTGCTCTCTTTACTTGTGGGTAGAGCGCGCTCTACCAGTAGAGCGGGCTCTATGTTCGGTTAGAGCCCTTTCTGGCACTCTACCCACGCTCCTGGTTGTCTTCCGAGTAATCTGCGCCTGCGACGCTACTGGTACAGTTGGTGTCGTGGTAGAGGTGACAGCCTGAGGAGGCTGCGACTTCTTCCTACTTCTCTCCCGCCTCCTCTTTTTGGAGGGTTGCCGTTCTGTGGCAGGATTGGCGGGAGGCTGTAGAGTCGCCCCGGTGGTTGCCCTGGTCGTTGTGGGTTCCACCGTTTCCTGGGATATTACGGGTAGGGGGGGGGGCTGGTTGCCTGCCCTTCCCAGTGATGGTGGTCCACCCGTCATGCTGAATGGTAACAGCTTTCGGGCGACTCTGGGGGGCCTTTTTAGGAGCCTCCGGGAGTAGCCCCGGCAAGGTTATCCCTTGTCTTCTTGCAGTCCTCCTCAGGACTGGGCAGCGGCGGTCAATTGCCGTGTGGTTTTTACCACAGTTAGCACACTTCGGTTCTTCTTCTCTACCCCGAGGGCAAAGGCTTGCAATGTGCTCCCCGGCACAGCGCACGCATCTCACTGGCCTGAAGCAGTTGGCAGAGGCGTGCCCGAAGGCCTGGCATCGGTGGCATTGAGCTGGTCCTGCTTTCCTTTGCCAGGCCTCGATGACGACCCCTCTCATGTAGAGGAGTTCGTCGATGTTATAAAGATCCTGGAGCTGCTCCAGGCTCAAGTGGTCCAGTTGGGCAAAGTAGATGCAGCCAGGTCTGCTCCTACGAGGGGGTATTGCCTTTACGTATTTAATGGGGAAGCCTTTTGCTCTTATGGCCTCCTCTATTGCTTGGGTGTCCGTGCCCATTGGTAGACCCCGGATGCCCACTTTAGTGGGCTTGTCCTCCTCCGGGGTGTAACAGTACCACGACAGTGTTGGTGTTTTCTTGGTTAGTTCTACCATATATCGCTGTACTGTGCGGAACTCATTCGCGCTTTGCGGTGTGAACCGTATGCCTTTCCCGAACAGACGGGCATTTATGGGGTGGCCCAACATCCTGTTGAGCTCCTTAAAATGCCTCGTCCAGTCCGGTAGGCATTCGGCCACTATGGGTGGGTAACGGCCTTTCTCCTGGTCGGCAGGCTTCTCAGTAGGCACTGCCGCCGGTGGTGGTCGTGGTACTGCTGGTGCAGCTACCACATGGGCATAGCTGGTAGATGGCCGTTGGCCATCGTCCTGCGGGGAGCCCGGACGGATTGGTTGCTGCCACCGGCGATGATCTGCCGGAGGATGCTGCGAGGGTGGCATACGTGGTTGACCCCCAACTATAGGATTCTTCGCCCCCCTGCTCGTACTGCGCCGAATCATGGCTTCGCCGATCCGGTGATATTGAGCGGAGGGGGGGTTGCGGTAGTGAAGGTGACTTAGGTGGCGATCTTAGCACCTTCTTTGTAGTCACCTGGTGGTAATCTTCATCTTCTTCCGATGTAGATGGTGCTTCATCGGAAGATAATTGGGAGCCAATCCGTTGCCTCTTCTCATATAAGGAGGCTTCAGTTTCCGGAGGAGTATGTCGTCTTGCCGTTTTCATTGCCCGCTGTGGCTGGGGCGACGGTTCCTGCCTGACCGTGTGCTCAGACACGGCCGGCGTGAGCGCGACGCCCGGTGCGAGCTCTTTCCGTGGCGAGATGGGTTTTCTTTGAGGGATTTGTGAAAAGGATGACACTATTCTAGTGCGCTCCGGGTTCGCCAGATCCCTCACAGCCAGTGGTCGTTCCAACACACCTTTTCGGTCCGGTGGTTTTCTAGATGGGGGGGAGGCTCCCCCTTTTTCTTGTCGGACATGATGACCTACCTACGTCAGTCAGGTAATCTAAATTACGGCCCTGTCTAAAATATGGTATGTAAAAATAATTACTTTCTACACTTGGGGCACTGCCTACCCCTTTTGTAACAAAAGGGTTGGGGGAAGTGCTAAGGTGGCACTTTATAACGCGACTAGGCACAGGATGCACGAAGCGCATAAAGTGCCAAGAATCAACTAGGGGCCGGTGACCTCGACGCCTCACGGAATCACGGGACTCAACGATCGGCGGAGTATGTCGTACTGGCGGTCATTTGCAGCCACTGCTAACTACAAAAGACGCACACCTAGGAGATCCTTACTTGTATGTTAAGCGGAAAAAGCTTAGCTACTACAGAGCTAAACCGTAGGAAGACCGCGCCACTATTTTTATTTTTTACAAACGTAAATTAAGAGTTTTATGAATGTTTAATGTTCGAAATAATAAAGATCAGTTATCTCTACTGCCAGGAATGTATAAAACATTGTAAGGTATGTTTTACCACACATATTAAAGAAATTTGTAAATTTACTTTAGAAAAGGTCGTTCTGCGCTCTGATTGGTCGACGGGAATCATTAGTGCCGTGTGCAAATTTTATTAATTCTGATTGGTCACAGCTGCCTATAAAAAAGAGGCGTTTTTTTGTGGTAAAACATTCCAAATCCGGCAATGTAAGAATAAAGCCTCAAGAAAATAAATAAGAAGAAACTCTGAAGAAGTGTTATTCTAACTGCTATCTATCTAACTGCTACTGCATGCTTTCCAGTTAACATCCCGCCAGCATAACCCGCTCCATTACTAACATTCTCACACACGAACATCAACACGCTGCATTGGAAGACGTTTTCAAGCTACTGGACCGGAAAGGATACAGTATTAACGTCAATGGCGTGTACATCACTCACCTTCGATTTGCCAACAATATAGTCCTTATGGCGGAATCGCTGGAGGACCTACGCACTATGTTCACTGACCTCAATAGTGTCTCCCAACGGATAGGTCTTAAGATGAACATGGACAAAATAAAAGTCATGCTTAATGTCTATGTCACACCTATGCCAGTGGTTTTTGGGAGCACTTAGCTGAGTTGTAGACGAGTTTTTTTACTTGGGACAAATAGTCCGACTAAGTAAGTTCAACTTCGACCGACTGGTCAATCGACGGATTCAACTCGTCTGGGCAGCGTTCGGTAGATTACAACACATCTTCTCGTCAGGAATACCTCAAAACTAGATTGTAAAACCAGTGCGTGTTGCCAGTGATGACCTATGGATCTGAGACGAGGTCTTTCACTGCTGGCCGTATGAGGAAGCTCGAAGTCGCTCAGCGAGCTATGAAGAGGGCTATGCTCAGGAGTTCAAACTTAGGAATGAGGATATCTGCAGTAGAACCAGAGTGACCGACATCGCCTAATGGATTAGTAAGCTGAAGTGGCAATTGACCGGCCCACTAGCTCGAAGATCCGAATATCGATGAGGGAAAAAGGTTCTCGAGTGGCAGTCTCGTACCGGCAGGTGAAGTGCAGGACGTTCCCCACTAGATGGAGTCAAAACCTGGTAAGACGATGATGGATGCAGGTGGCTCAGGACCGTGCTTTGTGGCATTCCTTGTTGGAGGCCTATGTTCAGCAGTGGACTTGAGAAGGGCTTTAATGATGATGAATAATAATGACATTATATTAATATGATACATAAATACAATGGACGTTACGGGTAGAGTCCATCTATCCAAAGAGTCCATTCTATTTATTTAGGTATAGGTAGGGTATAGAATTTTTATCGATATAATTTGGTGCAGTGTCTTATCCCTATTATTAGTTCCGTGGACGTGCACTTCTGCTGTCAGCGCCAAAATGGCGGAAATTAAATTGCTTCATCATGTCACGGTTTATAGCCAGTCCAGCGTACTTGTATATATAGAGGTCAGTGATATGGATTGAAACTTACAAAGATTATAATATAAAGAAGACTTGGCTTTAGCCTTTATGGTTTTTGAAAATATGAAGAATTAAAGAAAATAAGACTTGGCTTCGGCCTTTATGGGTTTTTGTAGAGATTGAAAGAAGAAAAATAAGACTTGGTTCCGGCCTTTACACTTCAAAATTCTATATATTCTAATTCAAAAAGACAAGGCTGTATGGCTTAGTTCCTTTGCCTGCTCTCTCGAGCGAATAATAACAACAACAAATATCAAATTAAAATTATTGCATAAATTCAAATGTACCTATAATTATAGCTTGCTACATAACTATATAACTATGGATAATGAAGTAAATTTTAAAATGATAGTTGTTGCGGATATGTCTGCTAAAGAAATAATTAATGATTTTAAAGAAAATTATGAAAAAGTCCGAAAACTGATTGATGGAGATAGTAAAAATGATCCTGAGAATGAACCTTACATGTCTAAATACAAAGCAAGAGAGATCTTGTTAAACATGCTGAAGTCTCTTACAAAAATCTCTATTTCTGAGACTGGTTTTGATAAAATAAAACTTGACGCAATGCTTGGTACTGTTCTTGTGAATATTGGAATAATAGACATGGAAACAGAGGAACTTACATCTAGTGAAGAGATTCTAACTGAAGCGGAAGAGTTGTTGACGCCCAATTCAACGAAACCTGAAATTGTCAAAACTCTAATAAGTGTTTATAATAATTTAGGTATTTTATGGTCCAACAGAGATGAGCCTCAAAAAGCTAAGGCTTATTTGTTGAAAGCGAAAGACTTGTATGAAACATTTAAATGTACTCTACAAGTACCACTTCCAATAGAACAGATTATGAACAATGCTGGTGAAACTTCTACAGAAGATTTCATTTTATTAGAGAAAGCACATACATTAACTTTGTATTATTTGGCTCAAGTGTATGGATCATTAAAGGAAAATTTAAAATCGGCCATTTATTGTCATGTAACATTGAGAAGGCAGTTGCAGTATTCTGATTATGAACCAATAGATTGGGCTTTAAATTCAGCAACATTGTCACAGTTTTTTGCTGAAAAAAATGGTTTCTTTCAGGCCAGGCATCATTTAGCTGCAGCATCTATAATTCTTGATCAACATCAGCAGAGTTTACAACAATCTGAAACCAATGATGATGTATATTTAGCTAAAGTAGAAACATTTAAGCACAGATCTGCTGATGTGTCTAGGTGTTGGGCAAAGTATTGCCTTTTTCTTATGACTGCTTCTAAGACTAGACTAATGAATGATGCAGAAAGAGTAAATGATGCAATTACAGGTGGGCTATACAAAATTATTCTAATTAGTATTATAAAAAGTAATGTATAATACCTAAGAGCGAGTTCACATGGTGCATGATATATTTTGATGCATTGCCGGCCACACTGGCGTTGCGTCATCGCAGTGTTGCTACAACACAGTCGTTACGTTCCATTGTTGCAGCGGCGACGCACAGTTGTGGTGAGCATTTTGTAAAAACAGCAGTTTATTCAACATGGATTGCCCATAATACTACATCACCGCGGAAATCGTCGCAAAATCACCAGACAGTATTAGATCTGTTCCTTAATTTCATTTAGAAATAGTGATGGACAGTTTTTTTGTTAGAATATCAGGAGTTGCTATTAGACAGAAATAAGTTTTATAATTTCTTTAGAATGAGTGTGTCCAGCTTTGAATATTTATTGAAGTCCTTAGAGCCAAAGGTACAGAAAAACTATACTCATATGGTATCCAGTAGAGCCAATGAAAATATTATAATTTTTTGTCTGTTTATTTTATAATGTTTATAATCGAAAATTATCATAAGGGTCATTAAAGTTTAGAGAGTCGTTATCAAGTAACTATATATATAAAAATTTCCTGAATTAATGAAATTAAGTAATCTATATCAATTTCTTTAATGATACTCATTTTACTCTGCAAACTAAACTCAAAGAAAAAACGAAATTAACTTGCATACTATCAACGCACAAACAACTGAGCGCTGCCGCTCCGGCATCGTAATCAGTACACCCCTTTCCCTTCGTCTTGAGGGCTTTCAGTTAGTTGTGTGCGTGTTGCGTCAACGCAGCACACCATGTGAACACTATGATTATTAGCATGTAAAACGACGCAGTGATAGCGCTACTTCAACGCAACAGCCGTGTGAGCTTATCCTAAACAAATCTAAAGATGTGGGTAGAGTTTGGGTTTATATGGTACCTCATAGGAGGATCCATATTAATTCATGAGTAAGCCATACCATTGTAAAAAATGAATTTCTTCATCACCCTGGATAGTTTTCATTCTACAGTTCCTATAATTCAATGACTCAAGCCCCTTTATGTACGTTATTAAGTAAGAGACTAATGAGCTTCATTTCAGTTTCCCTTAAATTTAGTTATAAATTTGAGTAAGGTATGTGAGGGTAATATGGTCACCTTAAGCTTTGCCACCCTGTAACACCAAAAGTAGAAAAAGGGTAGAGATGAAAACACAGTGGTATACTATAACTTAAATATTAAGAAATAAAATAGCAAACAAGCTTTGGAAATAATATAAATTTCGAAAAATCTACTTACAAAACTAACTACACTGCATCTTATTAAAATTGAATAAAATATTTAACTATAATGTCAACTGTCAAAATGGAGTCGATAAAGCAGCACCCTTTTGACCCTTTATTATTTCATTGACCGATGAAGAGCTATTGTGTCGCAAAGCCATCTATGCTAACAAGGCTGTAGTTATGAGTTATAGGAAAGTGACCATATTAACCGGATGACCATATTACCCTCACATGATATACATGTAAATCTACATTCATAACATTTATGCCCAGAAGTTATTGGATTTAATGAATCACCTTATTAATTTATTACCCTTTTTAACCTTTCTTTTATGGGAAATGCCTATGCATACCGATACCTATGCATACCTGCAAGGGGCAGGGACGGGTTATGTTTGACTTGCATTAACTTAAACCTTTTAGCTTCATCGTTGCTCCACAGATATGCACATATGCAAAGCCACATAAAATCTGACAGCAAAAACTATTAGCATTTCTAATGAGGTTGCCAAAAGGAGGAACTTGACTGTCAACAGATTATTGCTCCTGTATTACAGTAACCTAATAAAAGTCCACAGCTGAGCATAGACGATTCCCATAGATTGCCTCATTTTTTTTTATAGAAAAGGGGGCAAACGAGCATGCGGCTCACCTGATGTTAAGTGACTACTGCCGCCCATAATCAACCGCAACACAAGGGGAATTGCAGGTGCGTTGCCGGCCCTTTAGAAAGGAGTAAGCTCTTTTCTTGAAGGTCCCCAGGTCGTATCGGTCCGGAAAAATCGCCGGTGGTAAACTATTCCACAGAGAGGTTGTACGCGGAAGAAAACTCCTTTTGAAACGTACAGTGGTGGACCGCCAAGCATCCAGATGGTGTGGATGTTAAGGGACGTTTGCCGCGTAGTGCGTTCACGAAATTTGGGGGCTGGGACTAATCCGAACAATTCCTCAGAGCACTCTCCATGGTATATGCAAAAGAAAATGCAAAGAGATGCAACATCTCTTCGCAGTGCCAGTGAATCGAGCCGATCGGAAAGCACTCGGTCGTCGACGATTCGAGCCGCTCTGCGCTGGATGCGGTCAAGTGGAAGGAGCTGGTACTGGGAAGCCCCAGCCCAGAGATGGGAACAGTATTCCATGTGCGGCCGAACCTGCGCCTTGTAAAGTTGCAGGCGGTGTGAAATACTGTCCCGCTCTGCTGAGCACGCCAAGCTTTTTAGATGCCAATTTGGCCTTCTCTTCCAAGTGACCACGAAACTGCACGTCACTCGATATGTCGACGCCGAGGATTCCGATACTGGCTGAGGCAACAAGGGGAGTGCCTTGAAACTGAGGAGATACGACAAAGGCGTTCTTTTTAGCGGTTAACACGCAAACTTGTGTCCTCTGGGGGTTAAACTGGACTAGATTTAGTCGCCCCCAATCAGAGACTCTGTTCAGCAAAGACTCGACTTCAGACACAAGTTTGTCCCGGCACTCGGAGACGTTTTCCCGAGAAATATTGGCTCGGCCGGTGTAAAGAGCATCACCAGTAGGTGTCATCTGCATAGCAATGAATGTTACGGGTTTGCAACATATCATTGATATGCAGAAGAAACAGCGTTGGCGATAGCACGCAGCCTTGTGGAACACCAGCATTAATAGGCTTGCAATCGGAGCTTGCACCGTCTACAACGACTTTGATGCTCCGATCTGCAAGAAAGCTGGTGATCCAATCGCACAATTTCTCGGAGCCCATAGGAAGGGAGCTTCGAAAGAAGCGCTTTGTGCCAAAACCGATCGAAGGCCTTCACAATGTCCAAACTAACGGCCAATGCCTCCCCCTTGCACTCTATTGCCTCCGCCCATCTGTGAGTTAGGTAGACCAGAAGATCACCAGCTGACCGACCACGGCGAAAACCGTATTGGCGGTCACTAATCAGCTGGTGATCCTGAAGGTACCTCATGAGCTGGCAGTTACAATGGACTCCATTGTTTTGGAGAATAAGGTGGTGAAGGCGATAGGCCGGTAGTTGGACGGGTTTGAGCGGTTGCCTTTTTTAGGGATCGGGTGGACGAAAGCCGTCTTCCATGACTTTCGGACTACGCCCGGGGAGTAGGAGTAACGGAAAAGACGCGTTAAAACCGGTGCCAACTCTGGAGCACACGTCCTCAGCACAATTGGGGGGATTCCGTCAAGCCCACTCGACTTGTGGACTTCCAAGGAGAGGAGTGCTTTGCGAACCGAACGCTGTGTAAACTGCACTTCCGGCATGGAGCACTCACACCGCAGGATGGTCGGCGACGTACTCCCCCCGTCATCGATATTCGAGTTGGACGCAAAGAAAGAGCCTAGAAGATCGGCTTTCTCCTTTGCGGTATGGGCCAGTGAGTCGTCCTCCCTGTGCAGAGATGGAAGAGATGGCTGACAGAAATTCCCCTGGACAGCCTTGGTAAGAGACCAGAATGCACGGGTTCCAGAAGGAAGGCGAACTAGTTTCTCGCCAATTCTGCCTATGTGCTCTGACTTTGCCTTGGCAATGACTCTTTTGAAGGACCTAGAGGCGGAATTATACTTCTTTTTTAGAGGGCTGGTGTTTATATCCCGAGACGCTGATGCGTCAGCCTAGGCTCGGTAGCACTCCTGCTTATAGCATGATGCTATTTTACAGGAGCGACCAAACCATGGCTGAGATCTGCCTCCAATGGGCACCACAGAGGAAGGAATAAAAAGTTCCATACCCTGAAGTACCACATCAGCGACAGAATCCGCAACAACGTTGGGATCGTCCGGCGAGAAGCAAACCCGCCCCCAAGGGTAGGATGCAAAGAAAGACTGCATCCCATCCAAATCGGCTGACCTATAGTGCCAAACACGGCGACAGCCTGCAGAATGCAACTGCGATTTCAGCGTGAGTGGCACCACACTCCGGACAAGACAATGGTCCGAGAAGCCTAAAGGGCTTCGACGGAAATCTGATATCCGTCTGGGTGAGAGGTCAGCAGAAGGTCCAACAGGGAAGGTGCATGATCCTCCACATCTGGAATCCGCGTAGGCGAAGTAACCAGTTGTGTTAGACCATATGCCAAGGCAAAATCATGAACAGATCTCCCCGCATGATCGGTTAAACGTGAACCAAGCCATTCGGCGTGATGGGCGTTAAAGTCGCCGAGGATCACGATCTCTGCGGAGGGGATCTGCTGTAGCAACGAATCTGTAGCCATTTGGACGTGGTCGAAGAGTCGGTCTGTTTCGGCATTACCGCTATGGGACCTATAGAGGCACCCGTAGACGCGCGGATGGTCGTCGCTGTTTACGCGTAGCCAAAGGATGGACAGGTTCGAACCTTCAAGTCTGCCGAGGCGTCGAAAACAGATGTCCTCTCTGATGTAAACGCAAACTCCAGCCCGAGGCACAAAGGAGTGTTCCAGTTTGGACCCCGGGTCAAGCCAGTGGACGGCGTTTAGGTTAGAGTGAAGTCCCGTGATATTGCAGAAATTCACGGACAGCGTGGCAGGGGTCGCCTTGGTCTTGTTGCTCCGTTTGCCCCGAGCAGTTGTAGTCTTGCGCGGAATTTTGCCCCCCCCCCCCCCAGAATACGCGGGGCAGCGTGAGCACCTACGCTCAGAAGTGGAGAAACATGGCCGGGGATGCTCAGCGAGGGATTCTCCAGGGGTGCTGGTACCCTCCTGGGGTAGTCTATCATTATTTAATTCCGCTACCATGTTGATGGGGGAGGGGGGATTTGGGCCTCCGGCCACCTGCACTCACCAGACGAAACGCGGAAGCAGAGCTTCCACTTCACGCCGGTATTCTGTGAGGTCGTGGTACCACCCCGGTTTGAGCCGGCCCATACATGCAACAGCAAAGCTGCCGCGTGGCTCTACCACTGTTAAATATACATAGTAAGGACATTTGTCATAGTTAGTTTAGTTTGTTTACGATGGGCTGTTTTCCACTCCTAAACGCAACTCCACGTGTAGCTCCAGTGGGCAGGAATAATGTAATTATTCTAGCTATAAAATCTCCCTGAAGAAGTTCAACAGTCCTTTGATGTTGCAAGCAACTTTGGGGAGTGATGCCGGTGTGCCGAGATGTTAAGCCCTGTATACAGCCACCTCCAGACGTGTCAGCAGCACATGGACTGCCATTTCTTCCTCCCCCATACATGCCTTGCACAGGGGACTATCTGTAACACCTATGGTAAATAAATGGTTGTTGAAGGAGCCACGTCTTGTGATAGCACTTGTTACTATGATCTGTGGCTTGTTCAGTCCGATTAGAACCTTGGTTAAATAACTTTATTTCAGGCAGGACCTCCCTAGCTTAACTATGGTATTTGTTATAATTGCCACACTTAACAGGCGTGTTGGCAACCATAGTCTTTTGTTTTAAGTTGTTATTAGGATTACACTGCTGTCCATCTACACATTTCTTTCCCTCTGTCACCTCTAATGAAACTCAGAGGATGAAATAGAGTAGTGAATTTTCTTACAACTCCACCACTATTGACACTACTGTATTATCATTTAATAATTATTGGTTTAATGTAGATTTTGATGTGTGAAAGTGATGCGAATTAAATGTCTGAGCATGAGTCTGAGTATGTATATTATTGGAAATGATGCATGCTTCAATAAATCTCCTTTTTTTGTATTGACTGGGGTGGCTTGAGGTACTCTCATATGAAACTGTCAGCTGCAGCCTGTCTTCGCGGTGTGATGCGTCATGATGCGTTATTGTAATTAATTTCTTGAATAAAATACACATCAAACTGTCTGAACTTTTAATATTTCGATGAAAGACTGTATCCATGATCATGTTATAGTTATAAAAAAGGCAAATCTAAAAATGTTAAGATCTATTGTTGTTAATTATGTGATCATTAGGTGGTGGCAGAATTCATAAAATTAAACAATATCAGGCAGAGATCACAGGAAATCTAGCGCTTATAATCAAAATTGGATGCAAACAGTTATATTAATCTTGTACATGGATCATCAGGCTGTACCATTTGAGAAAAAATAACAATACTTATGACCTACTGAGAGTGCTTCATGCCGCATCATATCTCAGTCACTGCCACATAGGCTTTATATTATATATCCACCTACAGATCATAAACTATTTAAGAACATTAGGAGAAAAGTTATCAATAATACCATTTTGAATCTGTCTTTTAAGCTAAAGTATTAGTAAGTAAATAAGCTATGATAGCTGATAGCCTAAACACTCAAAATATTAAATGTCAAAGTGACAAACATACTATAAACATAAACACCTGCAGTCAAATTCAAACAAAGAAGGCTACAGATGTGTTTCACTTTTGAGGACTAAATGGAATACCTTGGAGCCTGTACTGTCTCTCTATACTCTTCGAATCGCAACTCAGCAGTGCTATTTCATGATAAGGAGAGATGATAGCTTGGAGACTAATGTTTTTTTTTCATAGGATAGGGTGACAAATGAGCACACCACCTGTCCACCTGATGGTAAGTAGTTGCTGTGTCCCATAGATATCTACATTTATTCTCGATTGCGAATAAAAATGCAGATGCTTTGCCACCCGTGAGAACTAAGATGGAATGCCTCGTTTCCAGTAAAAAGGGTCTCCGGTTCTCTACACTCACTATATGAAACAGCAATATTAAACTACTATTTTATGCTGGTACTCCGTGAGAGTGTGACTGTTCCCCGGTCGAGTCGACCTATTCGTGTTACAACTATACTATAAACAGCATGGCTCTACCACATACTATATTGTTAGGTTAAATGGACAACTAGATGATACAGCCCTTCAAGTGTGGTTTTGGAAATAATGGGGGATTTTAAAACAATTGCAATTTTTAGTTGAGCCACTCTGTAGCTATATTAAAGTTGTGGGAAGAATGGGTCGGCTCGACCAGAAAAGAACCACGTTCTCACATAATACCAGCATTAAATAGCAGCTTAATGCTACTGTGTTTCATATGGTAATTGTAGAGAACTAGTAACTCTTTTTACTTTAGTCCTCGCATTTTGATTCTTAACTTATTCGCTGTCCTGTATACTACATATAGTTCATTGCAATGTGTGAAATTAAATACAGATGTAGATGTATATGGGCATCAGTATCCACTAAACATCAGATGGCCTATGTGCTTACTCTATATTCCCTTATGCCATTACTCTTTGAAAGGCCAGTGTTTTATTAAACTTAAGACATGGGGTTTTTCTTCTTTCAGATATGTCTAATTTGGAACTAGAAGACAATGAAAATATTTGTGGTGGAGATATGAAAAATTTAATTTTCCCGAATTTAGATGTAACAAAGTATGAAAGTAAAGTTACCGATAAATTTTTACTTACATATCAGGATGCACGTGAGGTGTTCCTAAATTGTCAAACTTGGCTGAACAAAGCTAAAGAGTACTACAAATTAGAATCTCTAGCTTCTGATTACATAGAACTAATACAGGACAGTTCTCAGTCTTATGCATACCTTGCATTCTTTGAAGAAGACGACGAAAGAAGAGCGAAAATGTATAAAAGACGCATTGATATGCTTGAAGACTTGATTAAAGAAATTAATCCAACATACTATATGCAGTATTGCCGACAACTATGGTACGAATTAGGAGAAATTTACTGTGAAGTTTTAAACATAAAATTGGATAAACTCAATAAAAGTAAAGAAAAACCTACGCCACACTCATTGAAGAAGATTAACATGTTATGTAACAAAAGCATTGAGAATCATGATCATTTTTTAGATTCTGTTAAAGATAAGAATGGAAAAATGCCCGAAAAACTGGAATACGATTTGATACGCCCTGTTATAAGCGCATATGCCTTCATAGGTAGAAACAGTATGAAAAGAATTGCAGTAGATAAGAGGATGCAATTGAGTCATGTAAAGAAAAGTTATGATTCATATAGAGTTGTAGTTGATATTTGTATGAATGATGAGGAGGCAGCTGCCATGATGCATGAAGAGTTCAGTTTATGTCAGGAGATGATTAAAATTTTGCCAGTAAAAATCAAAAAGCTTGAAAATGAATTAGTCTCATAGATAGAGTTTAAAAAAGAGAACAAGGAAATGCTAGTCTGTTGTCATCGATGGTCGATAGAGTTTAAGTGACCTTTGAATCAGCTTCACACTATTTGTACACTCTTAGTAAAAAAAGGAACTGTAATCTAAATAAGCATGCAGAGGAATTTTCAAATAATTGGTTGTTTTTTATATAATAATCGCAAAATAACATTTACACGTTAATCTCTGCTACATTGATTATACAACATGAATTATACAACAATTTAAGCTACTGTTAATGCTTAGTGCTACACACATCAATCAATATGTAAATTTTAACTCAGAAATGATACATCATAAAGACAGAAATACTTCTATGAAGACTACTAGGCAAATAAGGACAAAGACTATTACAGCTGAGCAACACGCGGGTGCCGGCTGGCACGGTAAATATGCCACGCGGTTGTATTTTAAGTTACCTACTGTTTTAGGCAAATACAAAATAAAGAAACATAGTTATCTGAAATATACTTACGTTGGCAAAGTGTGCACATAAATAGCCACAGCCCTTTCCTTAATCATATTAAACAAAACACTGTAGGTTACAAAGGCATATAGAATTGGTGTTCGCGTCCGCTTGCAGCCAGCTAAAAGAGTTGACCGTAACTTTATATTAAGGCCTCTGCTCTGACGGGCTATGCTGTCTAGTAGTACACACCCACACACACACACACACACACGCACGCACGCACGCACGCACGCACGCACGCACGCACGCACGCACGCACGCACGCACGCACGCACGCACGCACGCAAGCACCACGCACCACCGAGGACGCACTCACTCACTCACCACCACTCACTCACTCACCACCACCCACACACACACACACACACACACACACACACACACACACACACACACACACACACACACACGCACACACACGCACACACACACACACACATACACATATATATATATATATAATTTTGGTTACTTATATGCATTATATTTTAGCATGTGTTAAATTATTAAAATGTATCATTTAAGTCATCAATTGTAATAAAAATTAGAAGCGTATGAATGTTCGATAATTTTATTATTATTAAAACTAATTTTACGGGTTTTATCGCGTTTAATTTGTAGTTTCGTTCTTTTTTAATTCCCGACGTTTCGATTCAATTTTATTATTTGCTTTCCAGTTGTAACTTCAAAAACATAGATCTGTGTCATTAAAAAATTTGAACCTTCAACTTTGACACTTTCAGGCCCAGTGGCTAAAGCTATGCGCGTATGGACGCTTATCAAATCGGTCGGTTTTAAAATCTGTGAATTTCAATTCCTATCCGTTGTCGATCTGCCGAAGGCATTCGTCATCATCATCATCATTATAGCCCTTCACAAGTCTACCGCTCAACATAGGCCTCCCCCAAGGAATGTCACGAAGCACGGTCCTGAGCCACCTGCATCCATCGACTTACCATGTCGTCACTCCATCTAGTGTGGGGTCGCCCTACACTACGCCTACCGGTACGAGGCCACTACACGAGAACCTTTTTTCCCCATCGGTTGTCGATTCTTCAAGATATATGGCCGGCCTATTGCCACTTCAGCTTACTAATCCATTGGGCTGTGTCGGTCACTCTGGTTCTACTGCATATTTCCTCATTTCTAAGTTTATCAAGCAGAGAAACACCGAGCATAGCCCTCTCTATACCTTGCTAAGCGACCTTGAGCGTCCTCATACGGCCAGCAGTGAAGGACCACGTCTCAGATCCGTAAGTCATCAATGGCAACACGCACTGGTTGTACAATCTAGTTTTCAGGTTTTGAGGTATACCTGATGAGATGTGTCGTAATTTCCCGAACGCGTTGACTCCGTCGATTTACCTGTCGGTCGAAGTTGAAATAGGTATAGTCGGACTATTTGTCCCGGATAAACGTACTCGTCAACAACATCGAGCACTTCGATATACCGACAGTCAACTTGGCACCGATGAAGGGACTGTAGCACCGCCCAAATTTCGACGGAATCAAAGGCTTTCTCATAGTCCACATACGCCAGGCAGAGTGGCAGATTGTACTCTTCGGTCTCCTGTACAATCTGCCGCAAGGTATGTATGTAGTTTATGGTAGAAGTCGTCGAGTCTGCGTGCGAGACGATTTATAATGACTCGAAAACAGCACGTAGACGCGGCTCAGAAGGGAAATTGGTCTGTAGTTCTTCAAGAGAACTTTGTCACCTTTCTTGAAGAACAAGACCACCGCACTTCTGCTCCACGCCTCCGGAGTAGTGTTTCTATGGAGGACAGAATTGAAAAGCGTCTGAATGACTTAAAGTACCGGTGTTCCACCCATTTTCAGAAGCCCCGCTGTAATTCCATCCTCGCTTGGGGCCTTGCTGGAGAGCTATTCTAATGTCCCTCAGATTGACGTCCAGGATATCATCGTAATAGTGTCGGATAAGACTTGCTCTTGAATCGTTACTCACACCTGCGTGTGGCTCTAACGATGAAGTGTAAAACTGACCATAAAATCTCCCAATCTCACTCAAACTCTCAGGTGTCCCGGAAACGATGCTGCGTCAGACAGATCTCTGGCAAAGACTTTGGAGCCCTGGTTCCGCTCGATCGCTTCTTGAATATGCAGCCCCGGATCTATGGGGGGGAGGGGGGCAAACCGTCACCGTTGTGAGGAAAACTAGTCCTTATTCATGTGGCCAGGAATCGATGCAACTGGAAGGTAAGAGCAGCTAAGCGCCGCCACTTCACGGAACGTTTATTGCAGTTTGCGATCCTAGACGGCCCCAACCATTACATCAGATTTGATAGACCACAAATCCTCGCGAAAGAACACCGATTCCTACCAAGGATGATACGTGAGGCTATTGAAATTAAAAAACATCCTAATTTCAATAGGGAAGGAGGCTGGGTACTACCACCTGCTTGGGATCCTATAATCAATAAAATTAAAACTAAACCGAAGCATACCACTGCAAGACCTCAGGATATAGTCAATTCATTTTGCATAGATCGGACCATAAACAATAATTAAAAAAAGCTGAATGTACTCCGGGTTTAACAATGACATTGGGACGTCAGTCATCTTAGTCCCCCGTGACCATAGGTGCTAGAAAGCGCCCGAGACGTTGGGAATTAAAAATAAAAGTAATTAAAAGTAAAATAAACGCGATAAAATCCGTAAAAGTAGTTTTATTCAATGTGTAGAGTTCGCGTAAATATAAGAAATCATTATAGAGTTATGCTCATTTCTATCTTACGAGTAGATCTCATTTTTCCCATTATCACACATATTACCAACTTTTCTCTTGACTCCAGCGTCCTTGGTCCACAACTCCATGGTGGTAGGCTATTGTTGTCCCTTTATCAAAGGTCCCCAACCCTTTATATACGTCTAATTTTAGGCCCATATTCATCCTTCCATTTCTGTCCAAAATTTTTGAAGCTATTCATGAACAAATTTCTAATTTTATTTTTGAAATGGGGTTTGCAACATATCATTGATATGCAGAAGAAACAGCGTTGGCGATAGCACGCAGCCTTGTGGAACACCAGCATTAATAGGCTTGCAATCGGAGCTTGCACCGTCTACAACGACCTTGATGCTCCGATCTGCAAGAAAGCTAGTGATCCAATCGCACAATTTCTCGGGAAGCCCATAGGAAGGGAGCTTCGAAAGAAGCGCTTTGTGCAAAACCGGATCAAAGGCCTTCGCAATGTCCAAACTAACGGCCAATGCCTCCCCCTTGGACTCTACTGCCTCCGCCCATCTGTGAGTTAGGTAGACCAGAAGATCACCAGCTGACCGACCACGGCGAAAACCGTATTGGCGATCACTAATCAGCTGGTGATTCTCAAGGTACCTCATAACTCGCTACTGTACCTACTTATCAAAGTGTAAATCGGTCTTTATTGAGCTGAGCTTATTTTATTTCGTAACTAGACGACGGTTTCTCCCTTTATTTTTAATGATTCAATTATTCCCTACTCTCCGCATATTGAGGATCTAAGCGTTATCATAGACAAAGCTCGTTGTATTGTGTTCCTCATATTACGAATGTATGTCATAAGGTGGTGGTGGCTACAAATACGCTTAAATATTTATTACGGTTCAAAAAATATACCTTTACGTACAAAGTTATTGATGGTGCAGTCATTGCTTCTCGATTATGCTGATGTTTGTTATTTTGATGCCGATCAAATTCTTGTAAACAAATTGGACGACTTTTAAACAACTGCATTAGTTTAATTTTGGACAAAAATTTTACCACATTTCTGACTTCCCTACTTTTTTTTATAGAATAGGGTGACAAACGAGCATACAGTCCACCTGATGGTAAGTGGTTGCTGTGGCCTATAGACGGAATTTACATCTATCCTCGATTACAAATCAAAATGCAGATGCGTTGTCACCCGTGGTTACTAAGATGGAATGCCTCGTTTCCAGTAAAAAGGGTCTCCGGTTTACACTCACTATACGAAACAGCAGTATTAGGCTACTATTTTACGCTGGTATTCTGAGAGAACGTGGTCCTTCCTCGATCCTAATATAACTGCAGTGGTTGCCTTTTTAACATCGTAGATCTAGGATACTACGCACCCTTTTCTCCATTTTTTTCGATCCACGTACTCCCATGTTCTTTTTCTCGTGATGATTACAATTTACATCTTCGTTCTGATTATAATCTTAGTTCCTTTATGTCGGTCTGGTTTTTTGTCTAATTTATAAAGGCGAAAAGGTGGTTTTTTGATTATTAATTCTTTCTCTTTCAAATCATATTGCATCTCCAAAGTATTGTTCTCCGCTTACTTATCTTTTATACATTTTTTGTGCAACAAAGTTCAAATAAATACCTCTATGAAATGTGACCGACTGGTAACAAATCGTTTAAGGTGCGTTGAAGTTGATCCATCGACGAAACAAACGTTCCATGTGCGACAAATTCCCTAACTGGCTGATGGCATTAGCTTAAATGCGCAGGTAGTTAGATATTTTGTCAACCTAGATTTAAGCG